ACTCTTCCACTACATCGGCTTCGTCATGCTCGTAAACATCAGAGTCGGAATTGGACGCCGTATAGGAGTCTTATTTGAAGGCCTCAAAATCTTCTAATACTATGTAGGATATACCATAATTCAATAATATGTAGCTTGGACAGAAGTTTTTAATAATAACAGAAATCGTTTTTTAGTTTACTACTTTATTCAATAAAATGCAAATTAAATTGCTGTCATATCAATGTACTGTTGTACCAGATTTGTGACCATGCTTCGAGGATGGCGCAAATGCTTATTTTTCATTGGTCCATTATATGATCATAGTCGCTATATTAGTGGCCGGACGCCAATCAAAAAATGAGTTTTTGTAGCTAAACCAAGTGATTCATGACGCATCTCTTAATTTAATGTTGGAGTAAGCAGCCAACTCACACAAACCTATAATCTTTCTCTATAGTCTAATCATATTAGACGAAAATACTCCTGGTTTGCGAAATAATTGTTGTCTGGTTTTATTGATGCAAGTTATTCAAGGGGCTATATAATACATTTACGCATAAAATGGGTACACCAATTTTTGTAGGAAAACTTTTTATTCGACAACAAAGGATGAAAAAACGTATTTTTTGGAATTCAATCGAAAGTGTTGGCATTAACGAAAAAACTCTTCAAATAAGATTTTTAGGTATTTATGAGATCTACAGAGACAGACCACACGTAAAGAGATCCCACTAATAGTAAAAAAGTTATGGCCGAAAACCGAGGCAAAATGCAGATTCTGGCACTTGTTGCTAATGCGACGATAATTTTACGCAGCTACTTGAAAATTTTCAAATCCAAGGGCTTCTTCTAAATAACCACAACAAGATTGGAGTCGATTGGTCAAATAGTTTTTGAGAATTTCTAATTGTTTATCCCAAAACACCTATATTCTGACCATCACTACTAGTTTATTGAGCAATATACAGGGTTCTTCAGACCATTCTGAAAGATGATTGTTATTTTTATGCGAAAAACGAAGGTTTCCTTTTTTTCTCCTAAACAATTTTTGAGTAACTGAACAGATTGACTACGATATTCGAAAAGCATACGTTATTTATACACATTTTAAAACAAATCGGATGTCTATCATCAGCGAAGAAAAAATTACTTACAAATACGAAATGATTGAATTTGTTTAGAAGAAAAAAACATAACCCGTCGTTTTTCGCATAAAAATAACATGTATCTTTCGGAATGGCTTGTAATTCATGTCGACAAGGTAAACTCGTGTATTTTGCTATAAAATGCCCTTTGAACGAACCCTGTATATTGCTCAATAAACTAGTAGTGATGGCCGGAAGACAGGTGTTTTGAGATAAACAATTAGAAATTCTCAAAAACTACTTTACCAATCAACTCCAATTATAGTTGTGGTTATTTAGGAATAAGAAGCCTTCGAATTTGAAGAATTGCAAGTAGCTGCGTGAAATTGTCGTCGTATTAGCAACAAGTGCCGAAACCTGCATCTTGCCACGGTTTTCAGCCATAACTTTTTTACTATTAGTGTGGTCTTTTTACGTCTAGTCTCATTCTGTAGGTCTCATAAATACCTAAAAATCGTATTTTAAGAGTTTCCTCGTTCCTGTCAACACTTTGATTGAACCCCAAAAAGCACGTTCTCATTCAAGTTTTCCCACAAAAACTGGTGTACATATTTTATGCGTTCATGTTTTAAATACTTTCTTGAACAACTTGCATCAATAAAACCAGACTTTACAATTATTTCGGCGAAATTTGCTAATATGAGAGACATTTTACAAGGAATCCACCATATTCATTTTAAAGTCGCTTTCCCATTGGTCGAAAATCTGACCCACGTGCCTTACAGTGATGCGCTTCAAGTATCATCTAGAATGAATGAAGTTCAAACTAATTACATCCGCCTCAAGACCGGAATAAAATTGGACAATTGGTAGTGCTAAACTGTGTGATCATCATAAGTGATAATTGCGTTTATGATAAACATTTAATAAACACAATATTTAAGGTAAAGAGTATCCTTGTCAAAGCTGCAGTAGATGTTATAAGTATAAAAGTGGACTACTTCAGCATCAGAGGTACCAATGCGGGAAAACCCCTGCCTACAAATGTCCTGTTCCTGAATGTAGCTATAGAGCAAACTTGAAATCTACCACAAGAAGACATATACATAATATGCATAAAAAGTTGGTGAATGTCTACTCGTACTACTAGAAAATTAAATTCTGATTTTAACGAGCATAAGTCTGATTGCTAACGACCTTTATGGAACTTGTTTTAAAATTGAGTGATAGTGCATCTGTGTTGACGTGTAGCAAAAATTTAAGTTATAGCTATCAGTTTTTGGCGAGCATGAAATTTGGTGTGCAATGTATATACATTGTTGATTTTATTTGAATTCTTAGAACATGATACTGCCAAAAATGTGTGTTCATTATATTTAATTGGATGATACATTAGTACAAATAACAGTTAATATTTGAAAATTATACGTAATTGTGATATTGTTTTATTCTATATTTTTTTCTGTGAAGCGTTTGGAGGCAACGATGTCTTATGGCTTCTCTACACATTGGGTCAGCGTATGGCAACGCAAATATGTATAGGCTAGACCAATGCGCAATGGCAGAGGATAATAAAAACTGGCACTGTAGAATATTGATTTCCACAGACTGTTTCAGGACTATATTTTTTAGATGGATTCGATATACAGTGGCTGGGAATGGAACAAGTGAACAATCTGAAATGGAGGATGATAAAGTTGACTCATAAGTACTATATTTAACCTTTAAAATAACCGTTGAAAGAGGTGGGGACTGGGCGCCATTTTGTAACATTTTTTTTAAATGGAACGAGTGGCCGTGTGATACATCATTTTGAAAATCTTTATGAGCATTTTGTAACTCTAGAGTACAAAATTACCATATTTTAAAATGGCAGACTGAGAAGCTGTCAGAGTTGAGTCATTCAGTTAAAAAAATTGACAGATTGACATTCTTAAAAAATGGAATACTTCAGATTCGCTAGATCAAACGAAGAAATCAGACTGTCAAATTTGAGCATTTTTCAACCTGTATTTACTTATAACCTATCACTAGAACGCTATATTATATCAACTCTTTCCATTTGGAAGTGCCTATCTGAATGTGCAATACAATATGAGCATACCACTTTGAAGTTGTAGGTGTTACCGTTTGGTGCTCTCTTCTTAGAGTAACTGTATCACCAGAAAGGCTCTGAGCACCCATTCACTGAACAATGCTGGACAATGAAGTCAGCTAGAGGCACAAGTTTGTCGAGCATTGTTGCATGGAACTTTCGTGCGACTCTATTCAATTGCATAATGGGCGCAAGCACCGCCTAAGATAAAATTCACTTCACTAAGAAAAACAAAAACAGTAAATGTCGGGTTTTCATGGCCGACTTGGGCCTGGTTTTTCAATAGATGGTTAACTTTTAAGTAAGGTAACTATGACTTGGAGGTGGACTATCAATTGCCTGTGAATTCGTTTTTCAAATTCTGGTTAACAATCTTTAAACCGTTGATGCAGTAACGCTGATTTTAGGCCTTAATTATCGAGTTCTATATGTTTCGGGGTAGTCCTGGTATAATCATTATGTTGATTCAACGCTGCCACTATGGCAGACACTGGCTGACAAATGAGTCAAAGGTATGCACTAAAACTACGCAATTTTGGCGACTAACCATGCACTGTAAATAAAATAACCTATACGAATACGTTGAGTTGACCAGATGTCACCCAATGTGAAGAAACTACGTATAGGGTGTCCTAAAAGTTGAAACTTTGCTTTCCGAATCATTCAAGTTTGAAGTAACAAAGATAATGTACGGCAAAAAGAAATTGAATTTTGCGGCAAAAAAATTAATAAGTTTGGTAAGAGGTTCTTAGTACTGCCCTTTCACGTGTTGCTCGGGAGTACTGTTCCAATTTGTCCCCTAACGTAACATGTAGGCATATCTAGATCTTCTACTGTATCCACTTCGATGGATGTATGATAAAAACAAACTACCCTGCTCAGAACGGGAACGCGATTGACTATACTCGTCAAGTATCAATAGCATCTTGAAGACGCTCATCGCACGGTTACAGTAAATCTGTAACTTCGTTGTTGCTATAGGAGTGTACCAGTTTCGATTTTTCAAATCTGATCTGTTAGGTTAACCCAGACACAGCATGGCGCCTGATTTGGATACTGACCCGTCGTACCTTTTCACGTTGGATGCAGGGTTGGGGTGGGCCATTCACGTTTCATTAAAACTTGATATCTCGGCTGACTCGACGATTGCCTGTATATGTTACCATGTTACCAAGAAACATTGCTTATTGTTGCAAGACCTAGACACCCTCTTTAGAAATAGCCCCAACTTTATGGTCGCTCTAGCATACCATATCGGGTTGGCGCCAATGGTGGTTTCCAATACAGTGAGCCAATGTGTGGAGGAACAATTATGTTTCTTGTGAAGCAAATCAAAAATAACTATGTAGAAGTATGGAACAGTGTCAATGAGGTAGTGTGACATAAAAAATAAACGATTCTTTCCAGTTTTCGATTGGAGATATTATCCTATATTTATGTAGATCCTCATACGATGTGATTAAATCGTTTATGTACGTTACTCAGCATAGATATCATCCTCGTAATAGATATAATGGAATATGTGCCGGAACTACTAGTGATCTCATGGTAGAAGCTACATTTCTTTTGATCGATCAGAAATATATAATTCTTGAGTAACTCATTTTTCCTATTTTTAGGCAAATACACCTGTGATCGCTGTTACAGAACTTACTCGAGGAAAAGCGGACTCTGGCAACACAAGACTTACATGTGTGGGAAAGAGGCCCAGTTCAAATGCCCTTTCGATTTTTGTCCACACAGGACTAAACTAAAGCCCGATCTCAGAAAACACATCAGAAGGATGCATAGTCACATGTATGGAACTTTGAACTACTCGATTGCAGATTAGTTTCTCGATGCTTCCTCAAAGGAAATGTACGTTTTTGAAATTGTCTTTTATGATCAGCTCTAAACTTAAAACTATCTACTGCACTAGACCAGTGAAACGATGTGTTTATGTGTGACAATGTGGTCAAAGAGAATAAGGAAGCCAAGTAGCTATATATATGTATGTTAATGTCAATTTGCGATAATAAGTTAAATAATTATACTGGTCAAAGACAGGTATTGTCGAATGTCGATTTGTTAATATCGCATGAGAAATAATTAAACTGGCACGAGAAACTCATAAAGGGATAGACGATGTCAAGAATCACAAAGGAGGAATTCAGAGAAAAAAGTTTCTAACATACATCTTTCTTTTTGTCTGGTCCACCAGTTCGGACATCGCGAGATTCTTGCATTCAACAATATGTAATATCTAACACTGATGATGAGGAATTCAAAAATACCCATTTCCTAAATAGTTCGTACTTTTTATGCGACACATCTTGAATTCGTCAATTTTCTGCAATATTCGGGAACACCCCGAGTAACTTTGCACCCGGTTAGAAAAATATTCTGATTTGTTCTTTGCATAATCTTATTCAAAAAGGGCCACCGCATGTTGCCAAGATGCGTCAAAAATTGCTCTGAGCAAAGTTTTTGGACTTTTCTGGGTTATTCTGAACAAAAAAGGTTCCTATAAATGTTTTACTAAAGTTGATACTTTTCGAGATATAAGCAATTTAGTATTTGGAAAAGTGCCGATTACGCCATTTTCGACACCGAAACACAATATAAAGAAAATGGAAATTTTAATTTTGCTGAAGTTTCTAATATTGTTCCTAAAAACTGTTGTCCGGAGCAAAAACATATTTTTTGAGTTTGCTTAAAAAATGTATTGACAATTTTGGCGCAAATTTACGCGTGGGACATTATGCAAAAAGTTGAATGAGAACATTTTTCCGAGATGTTAATATACTTTCTGGACTATACCCGTTAGCGTGTCCCAGCCTTTGAGGGCAAACAATTTTTTGTTCGAATTGAGTTACGCGTACCCTCTCTTTTTTCTATTTGACTGTTATAACTCAAAAAATAAATATTATTGCGATCGGGGAACGATAACTTTGAATTTGAAAGTTAATATGGAAACCATGAATGGATTTTAAAACCTAATTCTTATTCGACAAATAAAACCCTGCTTTATTTGTATCTTATATTTCTTAGATATTTATATATAATAAAAGAATATTATTCACTAAACTTTCTTTTCAGAGTCTTCTTTTTGCAGTCAGGTTATACATGCCTGTGTTCTTGTAGTCAACGTAATTAAAATTGTTTTTGTCGCATCAGCAGTGATTAAGCCATGGAAGTCTTGCATTAACTTGACTACCCTTTCCGCCGAATCGTTAACTGCTCCCAGTGTTTGCACCTTATTCTTAGCGTATTGCAAAGAATCATTATGTGGTCATCAAGTTGGACACTCGTCGAGAAAACTGTCATCAATGTTGAGCCGAGGACTTGCTTTTGATTAAAACAAGGTCATCGATATTTTTCTCTAAAATGAAAAAAACAAAAAATGGCTACCATATAAACATACTAATTTTGTCCCGACCTCAGGCAGTCAACCATGGACGGATGTTTTGTGCTTTTTGGCAACTGTCAGCATCTAGGCTTGGCCTCAGGTCAGGACAATTAACGAACGCATGGCAACTAACCTCTATCTGAGGTATAAGATCTATCGAAACAAGACAGTATAAGGTGCCACCTATTACCAGAATTGCATATTATATCGAAGCAGTGAAAGGAGACAAAGGAAAATTCATTCCTCAGCCTTACCATAAAATGGGCCAGAACGTTCTTCTTACGATGGCTAAATTAGCAACAATTTTTACTTTAGTTTCCTCATCTATGTCGTCGTCAAACAGAGATAAGGCAGGTACCTCTTCTGTCAAATACCATAAATGTTAGCAGAGCTTTTGTTAAGCTGCTCTTGACATGGTTTTGTCAATTCTTTCGTAAGCCTGCTTTGCAATTAAAAAGCATAAATCTTGGTTAAGTGCCTTTACCGCTAAAGTGCATTGCAACCACGGTTTCACGTATTTTGTCACGAACAGGTAGATATCTAGCAGAGCTGCCTTATCCTTATTAGAAAGTTCGAGCTGGGAAGTTAGTAACGCTATTTTTAATGAATAGATTACTCTGGCAATCCTTCGAGCATAGCGACTGGCTGTCGAATCTTAAATTATTCCTGTGCATCTCCGCCAAGGAATATTATTGAAAGTTCTTTTAATTGTCGATAGTCATCTCTAGCAACTTCTTTGGTCAATTCATGTCGATAAAATTCAGTATAATCTGTTTTCTCAGGATTCATACTTTTCTAGCCCTCGCGAAACTGTCTAAATATTGGAATGTCAGGGCTTGTAGTCGCTTGGTCGATTTTTAGCAATAATATCACAATAGCGAATCTGAACTTTATCTTCAAGATTTTAGTCAATAATAGGATTCCAAACTCCCCGGGCTTGCTCACTGCCTGAAGAGTTATTCAATTTGGGCACAGCGATCAGTTGCTCTTTATTATCATACGTTATAACAATCGGTAGACGTTCTTCTTTAGACTTGCATGCATTTAAAGTTGCAATTTGCCATTCCAGGGGACAGTTACGGTATCCGGTACCACGCTTTGGGTGTAAACGCTATGATAGTCATTATTTAAGTGAGTGATAGAGGGGTTAAAAGAAGCAAAAAGTTTCATATAACATGGGGGTCAAAACGGCATTTTTTTTAGAGAAAAGCGACTTTAAAGTAAAATAAAATCTGACAACGCCGCAATGCCAGACGCAAATTACGACGGAACGCAGTGTAAATAAAGATGGAGTTTCTTATTTTTGTCTCCTAGGTACTATTTCATTATTTGATAATGTACTCGTAAACTGCAAACAATTAAAAAAAACAGACTTACCAGTAACTGTCACAGCGCTTCACCTGGTGTGTGAAAGTTTATTGAACGTATTAAAAAAATCAACTTATAAATAGGGAACTCAATTTTAATACATACATTGTTTTTCTTTCTAATACTCACACAGCACTTTTTTTGTATTTAAAAAAGGTGTTCAAAATGTCGTCCTCCACTTTCCACACAAGGTTCAGTACGACGAACCCAGTTTCTTCTTACTCTAGGTCCTCGAAGTTGTCCATTTATTATTTCAGCCGCATTAAATTTTTTTTCACGAACTTGTGCTTCAGTTGTTATTGGACCAGCCCCATAAACCATTAAGTTCTCCCCATTACCAGAAATCCATCGGATTGAGGTCAGGAGATCTTGCTGGCGATTTTCGAGGATCAGGAGCATTTCGACCGATCCAGCGATTTGGATAATGTTCATTCAAATACTGAATGACGCCTCTAAAAATATGTGGTGGTGCCCCGTCATGAAGAAACCACAAATTCTGTCTCTGTTGTAATGGCATGTTGTCTAAGGTCTGTTCCAAAAGTTCTGGTAGGTTATTGGCTAGAAAGCTAAAGTATCCTTCTCCTGACAACTTTGGGGGTAACTCGAAAGGACCTATTACCTGATCGTCAAGAATACCCGCAGAAATATTTATTTTAAAACGTTGGTGGAAATGACCTTCACGAATGGTATGAGGATTTTCTTGGGCCCACGTGTGAGTATTATGGAAATTTAATACACCGTCTCGCGTAAAAGTATAAGATAAATTTGAGCTGCAAGATTTGAATTCTGACGAGCTTCACCGTAAACTAACAACATGTCGGCGAACTCTTGATTCGAGAACATTGTAAACAACACTCCCGTTGCCAGATAACTAGCCACTGTTGCCGTTTGCGATCGATTGCCGGCTCAATAAGAGTGACGATGACCGACGCGGAGTTGTCATGTGTGTTTTAAATATTCAATTTAATGAAACTTACTTACTGACTACAAATGTAGGCTTAACTTAGAAAAACTTAATGCCATTTATTTGTTGATTACCTAATTTTAAAACGTTTTAGATTAGATTATAAAAATTAGTAAGATTGTGGTGATTGTGGTCGATATAATCACTTAAAGTTGTAAACTGTAAATCCATTTAGACAAAAATCTATTGACTTTTGGACCATGTGTCATATGAACTTTTTATCTTATTTTGACGTCCCCTATTACCCATTTCAATAATGACTACCATAACGTTTACACCCTGTATATTTATTTATATTATCCGTATGACTGCCCCCGAGATGCCACTGGAATTCATAATTATGGTCTGGTCAGTGATATTACAATGAACAATGCTACCAAAATTCAACAAAATGGGCTTGAGGATCTTTGAGATGTTTATAAAGCATAAAAATTATGGCTTTTTAATTACCGCCTATTATTAAGTAGTGACACCCTATATGTATAAAATTTGAAGTCAATAACTTAACCAAACCGAAAAAATATTTTTTAGATTTTGAAACTGAAACTTGAGTACCCTGTACCTCGAAACGGAAGGATTTTATGGTCCATCGTTATATAAATCCAGAAAAGTAACCACTATGTTCTGAATCACCTTGTATATTCATCCTAATCCGAACTGAACATGGACTGCCATACGGAAACATCGGAGATTTTGCATTTTATCTTTTCAGTCATAATTTGATCTTGGTGAACCGAAAGTCACAGAAACCATGTTTACTAGTCTAGTGAGTAGGCTGATTAAAGTCAGCACAATTTTGGGTTATCTTTGTCCCTAAAAATGCAAAACGGAAATCTGGACAAGAAGGAATGCTGAACAGTCACAACCAAAAAAGTTGTATCTGAAAAAGCATCCCTATTAAACTACCAGTTTCAGATAAGAAACTTTATTTTAGTCCAACGTATTTATGAGAACGGAGTTTATTAATTTATTATTTATCTTCTACTACCTTTGAATCCACTATATTTGGGCGTATTTAACAAATTCTTGAATCTGTTTTGTCTGAGTGTTTTGAAACAGAATTTGCTTGTGTACCCTTTAATATTTTTGGAATGGTATCAAGTAGCAAAACGAACATTCGTGCATTATCAAAATGGAATATATTTTAGGCTTGAATGAATTTAGATGCGATAAGTGCGGACGATGTTATGTATGGAAGAAAGGACTCCAAGCCCATAAAAAGTACCAGTGCGGTGTCAAGAAACAATTTTTCTGCCCTGTTGAAGGTTGTCGTTATAGGGCGACATTCAAGTCTACAGTCAGGAGACATATAAGGGGCATTCACTCTGCAGTAGCTAGCAGTATTAAATACTGAGTTAAGATGTGAATAATTATACAACTTTGAGTAAATAGAAGCTTTTGATAGAAGAACTATTGTTGTTTTATTTTATATTTGAACATCAACAAAAGAAAGGCACAATTAGTCCAAGCTCCGACGAGACTTGAACCTACATACATCATCGCGGATTTTGATAAAAATGGTATCGGAGTGAGGCTGGTAATGGGAGGAGTACAGAACACCAACGTCGGGCGGGTATATCGTATTACAGTTACCATAGACACAATTGCTATGACAGTAATGGATGGAGCATATACAGGGTGAAAGAATGTTTTTTACATTGTTGGGAAAACGTATTTACATAAAGTGTAGGTACACGATTGCTGCATTCTCTAAAATACAGATTAGTGGATAATATTATTTGGCATAAGTTTGGACCTAATTCCATGAAAATTTTAATATGGATACGAATCTTTGAACTTGTTTCGTCTCCACCCGAAAGATAGAGACACGCGTTAACAAATTTGATTTTGTTGCAAATACATGAGTTTTTGGCAAATAGTTTATGAGCCAGCGACACTTGATTCGATGTTGAGAAAGTTCTCCAATTAATTATTAAAAGGTTGTAAGATTTAGAAAAACTACGTCATGAGGAATGTTAATAAAAATTATATGAGATCCTTAGCCTTTTGCAAACCCTTGTCGCAAACTTCATAAGGAGTGTTGGTGATTTTTTGAAGCTTTGACTCTCACAAACAGAAATAAATATGTCGAACGGGAAAATTGCTGTCATATCATATCGAACAAGTTGTTTTAGATATATACAGGGTGGCGCATCTAAAACGATTTTGTTTTCGAGGGGGACACAAGTTTGGCAAAAAATCACGTTAACATGTGCAGCCCCGTGGGCGGGGGTGACACCAACCCTAGCATCTTAAATGGAAAGCGGGGTCGGGTGATACCTTATTTTAAAGGTCTTTCAATTTCCTTTATAATGATGTAAAATACATGAGCTTCAGTTCAATAGTTTTGAAGATTTATTGATTTAAAGCTTAAAGTAGACTTTAATAGGTACATCAGATTAGTTTGTACTACTTTCAGAAGAAATTTAACTAAAAGAGTTTAATTAATAAGCAAATGCTTTTCTTCACTACGCCCATGGTTTGTTTATCATTTTTTGTTGGCTATTGGAGCATTTTTTTTGTGGCAAAAAAGTTATTTCTTGAAGAAAGATAAGGAAATATCTCGTACTTATTTTAAATAGGAATTTAGTACATAGTTTGCGATTGATTTGACCAAACTTTGTTGCTAAAATAACTTGTCACGCTTTATTACATAAATTAACCATGGTATATTCCACAGCAGAAAGAGTTGAAATTATCAAAATATTTTTCGGAAATAATCAGTGCGCTAATAGAACAGCAGAAATATTTAATGAGCGACATGAAAACAGTAACGTCCATCGAAAATATGTTCTAGAACTTGTAGCTAAATTTCGGGAAACTGGGTCAGTCGCCAATAAAAAACGCAACATTGAAAATCCCATAAGGAACGAAGCAATAGAAGTGCGGGTTTTAGGGCAAGTTTATGTAGATCCTACGTTAAGTACCCGCAAATTGTCGTGTTAGTTGACGTACAGTCCAATGGATTCTGAAGGCCCATAGTTTTCATCCGTATAAAATTCACCTTGTACAAGAACTTAATGAAGACGTTTTTGATCGGCGACTACAATTTTGTGAACATATGAGTGAACGAATTATAAACGATGAACATTTTCTATTCAACACTTGCTTTTAAGATGAATGTTCCTTTTTCTTAAATGGCGTAGTAACTCGTCATAACTGCCGATATTGGTCCGATTCTCATCCCAGAATTTATCATGAGGTTCATACACAGCAGCCACAAAAATTAAATGTTTGGCTGGTATTTTTGGCGATCATTTAGTTGGTCCTTTTTTCTTACCTAGAAATTAGACTGGTGAAATGTATTTGGATTGGTAGAAGAGGTGCCATTGAATGGCGCCCAAGATCGCGAGATTTATCACCTTTGGATTTCTTTATGTGGGGTCATTTAAAAAGCAAAATCTGTGCTACTCAGCCAACATCATTAGAAGTCCTGCGACAAAGAATTGTGAATGAGTGCCTTCAAATTACTCCTCAAATATTGCAAAATGTGCGGCAACGTTTTGAGCAAAATCTTTATTATTGCATGGAGAGTCATGGTGGCCATTTTCAACATTTACTTGCCTAACGGGTCAGTTCATTCTTCATTTTTAAATTACTTTGCTGCCAAATATATTGATTTCCACTAATGATGATGTTTTAGTTTTATTTAAGCTTTAAATTAATAAATCTTCAAAACTACTGAACTGAAGTACATTAATTTTATATCATTATAAAGGGAATTGAAATACCTTTAAAATAAGGTATCACTCGACCCCCTTTCCATTTAAGATTTTGGGGGTGGTGTCACCCCCGCTTAGGGGGCTGCACGTGCTAACGTGATTTTTTGCCAAACTTGTGTCCCCCTCGAAAACAAAATAAACGGGTCTGAGCGTTTTTCAAAAAAAAAACTGAGCTGCCAGTAAATGCGTCTGTTTCGTTTTCGATGCGCCACCCTGTATTTGTTAACTCATTGGACTCATCCATTATGAACGTATTAAGCAAGTCAGACACTGTCTCGTACTGGCAAAGGGAGAAGTAGCCTGAGATAGGGGATACTGCAAACACATTTTAATGTTTACCTGAGTTACATTGAAAAAAGTAATCGTTAATATTCCTGATGATGAATGCGCAATTCTTATAAACAGTCACTTTACGGGGTTTGCAACAAGCTAACAATCAAATGTAATTTTTATTAGCATTCCTGATGACGTAGTTTTTTAGTGTAGCAAAGTAAAAATGTCACCGGCTGTCATTGACAACATACAATAAATGGATCTGTCACATTTTGAATGCTGACTGAATTTGAAACTTGGTTAATTTGTTACAATATATTGATGTTTTTCTTGTTACGCGCTGGTAGAAAAATGTTGTTCCTAACTCTTGCGAAAACGTATCAGTTTCCGCACTTGTTGGCTAAATAGCTATTAATGTACTGACTAAACGCAAGATACCCTACGAATGGAAAAACGAATTTTTATATTACTGACATGAGAAGTCGCCATTATTTACCGCATTACTCTAAAGAGGAGTTATATTTCTCCCTCTAGTTAAATGGTAATAAAAAAATACATGGGTAGACTGTGAGAGTAGTAGAGTAAATGTGAGCGTTCATGTAGATTGTAGAGGTTCTTTAAATTTCTGAATATCATTGATAATTATTTTTTAGTACTAGTAAATTGTTAGTCTATTTTATGACAGCAATTATTGTTGATTGTTTTAATTTATCCTTCCTGATGAAATGGAATATTAAAAAATGAGTAGTGAAGCAATGATGTGTCGACGTTCGTAGAATCGTCTGTCCTAATCGCACACTATCATGTAACAGCAGCGTTAGGACGTTGCGGAAATTTTCAGATATTCTAAAGTCAAAGTATAACCAAATTAAACGTGGTAATTTATAGTAGTTGGTAGTGAACAAAAATTCTATAAGTACATACTTCGGTGGAGAAATATACTTATACTTACTTCTCTCCACCAAGGTGTGTAATGTATTATCTTTGGGTTGATGCTTAATTGTAATTATGAATTGCTAATGGGATACGTTTTGGTAACGTTTAAAATTCCTCTTACATGCATAGTAGCTTGGTTGTTAAATAAAGCTTGTTTTAGTTTTTGGTCACAGAATATGCAGAGGCTGTGGAAAACATTACATGACAAAATCAGGACTGATGAAACATATCAAGTATGAATGTGGTCAAGACAAACGCTTCCAATGTATTTACTGTGATCACAGCACCAAGCAGAGGTACAACCTAGTGGTCCACGTTAGACACAGGCATAAAGACCATCTTCGTGAATTTATGCAGTGGTACTATACGAAGAAACTTCAAAAGTTCAATGTGTGATGAAACGCAGTAGCTAAATGGATGATTACCGCCTATGGGGATCATACTCATCTTTGTGAGTTACTGAAAATTGTAAATTCGTAGCCCAACAAACGTGGCTATTTACTTTTGAAAATAAACTTTTTGTTACATTAGTTTTACTTTCTGTTTGACTATTTTTTTTACTGTCAAGCTCAACACGTTGATTGCAATAATGCCATACTACATTTTGGACTGTCTTGACAAGATATAAGGTCTGTAAATTAAGTGATGAGAGATGTTTTCTTATTTCTTGGTTCAAAGATAACACTGATCAACAGCCAAAAAATATCCTAAATAAAATCAACAAAATATTACTATTTTTAATGTGCTAAAACCGGAATGAAACTTATTTTTTCAATATTAGTTCAAGTTTTAGAGATACGGTAATTATATGTGTTCCTGCTATGACAGTGTTAATATACTGTAATTCACAAGAATGCACGTGCTACATTTTTATATTCGGCAAGGAAAGATGATGTAATCGGCATGATTGTGTTACGTTATACATACGTGTACATTATATTGTTTTATATTAGCGATTTTTTCCTGAGTTGGCTGACAGCGTTCATGCAAGATGTCTCGAAAGTGTGTAAGCAATCCAGATCAGTTTTGTTACGTGTGTGGTTATGTGACTTTTGCGTCTCAGAGACGGTCTATTACTCCACTAATAACAAAGGCATGTCAGCTTTATTTCGGTTGTAAACCAGGTGATCAAGACAAACAGTGGGCACCCCACATCTGCTGTAATACATGTGCTTCAAGTCTGAGGAGCTGGTTAAATGGCAAAAAACGGTCTATGCGCTTTGCTGTCCCAATGGTTTAGAGAGAGCCTACAAATCATATTAATGATTGTTACTTTTGCATGGTACCTTGTGTTGGACAAGCCACAGGTATGTCCAAGAAAAAAAAATCGGTTATTAACTACCCAAACATACCATCTGCGATGAGACCTGTGCCTCACAGTGACGAAAATCCTATTCCAAAACCTCCAGAATCCTACCCTTGCGAATCAGAAAACGAATCAGATCATGGCGATCGAGTGATTCGTCAGGAAGAAGATATGCCATCAACGTCAAGAGATCCTGATTTTATACCGAGCACGTCATGCCACCAACCGCACAAAATAGCACAGTCAGAATTAAATGATCTTGTAAGAGATTTAGAACTTCCAAAATGTAAGGCAGAGTTACTTGGATCAAGACTGTAGCAATGGAACTTGTT